AGAGGGGCTTCCGGAGGTCAGCCTGCAGCTGCGCGGCTCGCGGCCGATCCCAAGCTCAGCCTCTGAATTGCCCACTCCGGCCCTCACGCACGCGGGCCTCTGAATCACCTGTCGTTCCCAGCCCACGGCTCTACATTTTTATTCCAGCTGAGGCCAAAGATACAAGCTCCACATTTTTGTATCTTAAGATCACTCCATGTTTCTTACGTAACAAGCCAAGTACTTCAGTGGGAAAGCAAGAGAGGGGTTCCACAAAGCGAGGTTTAAAAAACAGGTCACAGCAGGCAGTAGTGGGAGACATTGAAGACACCAGCCATGTCCCCCGTACTGCTTACTCTGACTACTGCCTTCCTGACAGATGGGGCCAGGGTCCCCCAGCATACAGCCCTCCTGTACCCCCCCACTCCTCTCCTGTTCCAGGCACAAACCCAGGGCCTAGGGAGTATACGATAAATCTCGAAGCTATGGGAGGTGGTGATCACAAATTTTCCTCCCAGTTCAGAATGAATCAATCTTTCCATTCAAATCCCCTCCCTCCTTTCAGGCAAAAAAAAAAAAGGCCAGCTGCCAGCTGGATCCCTAGTTATACTCGCAAATCTCCTCATGGCCTGGCCACAAGGTTTATCAGGAAACCAGCTTGCAGTTTAGGTCTGGAAATGATGCCACCCAAACACACACACTTCAAGGAGAACTTCTAAGCCTGGATCTCGCTAGCAGCACTCCTCCTCCCCCTCCCAGTTCCCCAATTCTAGGTCGGCACAAATGCCAGGCGGCTACTGAGGGAGTGGGTGTTACACGGGCAGAACAGAGAGGACCAAATCGATGGGACCAGGACAGGCGGCTGTTGCTTTTATTGCTTCAGCTTCTCCCAGCCCAGGCCCTCAACTCATCGGTGGTCAGTTCACAACGAGAAGTGAAAACTCGCAAACTTCCCACTCAAGCCCAAACCAATTTTGAACAAGACCTTGAAAGGTTTTCCCAGGAGAAGAACTGGCATGCACCGTGCTAAGGTCATTACCGGTCCCACCAATGACAGATTCAAAACTCTGAATCAACACCGCAGCCTCACCTGTGAGAAACCAAGGACCCAAGTGTACCTTTTCCCAGCTCGCTCTCCCACGTCCGCTTGGCCTCTACTTCTCAATTTAGACATGACACTGTGACAAGCCTTTGAAACCCAGAACTTGGCTTAAAGCAGAATTTCTTGAGCTGACATGTGGGGGTGGAAAATTCTTTCTTGGGGGGAAGGGGAAAATGCACTAGCGGATGTTTAGTGACCATCCCTGGCCTCTACGCACTTGATGCCCTTAGCACCCTCCCCAAAGCTGTGACAGCCAAGCACTGTCTCGGACATTGCTGACGAAAGGGTCAAAGTAATGTCTGCCTGACAAGCACTGATGTGAGTTTCCACCTCCTTAAAAAGATCGGATGCCACTAAAATCAAGGTGTTACAGGGCTAAAGAAAAAGACCAGGTGCTGAGGCCGGGCGCAGTGCCTCACACCTGTGATCCAGCACTCTGGGAGGCCAAGGTGGGAGAATCACTTGAGGTTAGGAGTTCAAGACCAGCTCAAGCAAGAGGGAGACCCCCATCTCTACTAAAAATAAAATAAAGGCCGGGCGCGGTGGCTCACGCCTGTAATCCTAGCACTCTGGGAGGCCAAGGCGGGCGGATTGTTTGAGCTCAGGAGTTCAATATCAGCCTGAGCAAGAGCGAGACCCCGTCTCTACCAAAAATAGAAAGAAATTAATTGGACAGCTAAAAATATATAGAAAAAATTAGCCGGGCATGGTGGCGCATGCCTGTAGTCCCAGCTACTTGGGAGGCTGAGGCAGTAGGATTGCTTGAGCCCAGGAGTTTGAGGTTGCTGTGAGCTAGGCTGACGCCACAGCACTCACTCTAGCCAGGGCAACAAAGTACTCTGTCTCAAAAAAAAAAATAAAAATAAAAAAAATTAGCCAGGCATGGTGGTGTGCGCCTGTAGTCCCAGCTACCCGGGAAGCTGAGGCAGGAGGATCGCTTGAGCTCAGGAATTTGAGGTTGCTGTGAGCTAGGCCGATGCTACCGCACTCTAGCCTGGGCAATAGAGCGAGACTCTGTCTTAAAACAAACAAACAAACAAACAAAAAAAACCAAAACAGATGCTGAGAGATACTTGGGGTTTTCCTAAGGACTTAAGGCCTGGCTGCTAGGTTGTAAGTATATACACATCTGTGTACCTGGGATTATCTGTGTTTGGAAAACTAGAAAAAATCAGGCCAATACCATAATGGCCCAGTAGGGACTTTTTTCTACAATTGTACTCACTTTTCTCAAACCTTACAGCAGGGTTTCTCAACCTCAGTACTACTGGCATTTGGGGCCAAGTAATTCTTGGGGGCCCTGGACTGCAGGGTGCTGAGCAGTATCCCTGGCCTCTCCACCTACTAGAAGCCAGCAGTGCCCTACCAAGTTGTGACAACCAAAAATGTCCCTAGACATTGTCAGTGTCCCCTGAGAGGACAGAACTGACCCTGGTTGAGACCCTCTGTTCCACAGGAAGATAAATGTCCCCACATCTTTTTGTGTAAAAAGGGGAGTGTTTTGACCCTTTGACCAGATAAGAAGACCAGTCGAGACCTACTGGTTTAAAGCACACTGCCTGTTCGCCAGGTGAAAATGCAATAAATGTTATCACTACGTGAGAAGAGATGTCTCTTTTGAACAGACCACATTATGAGGGCACAGAAGAGGGTGGAAGAGGTGTCACTGAGAAGGAGAAAAGAAACACGCAAACAGATGGACGTGGCCAGATAAACAACTGAGATGTCAGAGAACCATGGAAACTATTGCAGAAGAGGGTGGACCACAGCCAGAGGGATTCCTGAGAGGACAACTCAAAACAGAATTGATCAAGAGGCCAAGATGACAGCTCTCTGAGTAGGACGTGGCCAGCGCAGTACTCCTTTGGGACTGGGCCACAGAATGTCGCAAAAGTAAATTGATCTTAACCACCAGCTTACAGTGTACTACGCTTTCCAGGTTTCGAGGCACTTTTTGCAGACTTGAATGCAGGCCATCCTGCCTTCCCCAAGAGAGATAAGGTTCTGGTGGCTGGCCTAAGAGCCCTAGTGAGTTCCTCCACAGAGACGGTCAGCTCAGGACAATATGGGCCACCAGCACAGGCCCTGGTAGCCCGGGGTGGAAAGGGGAGGGCTTCCAGAGACCTGTCTGTGTGAAGGAACAAAGTGGCCCAGGAATTCTTCCAAGACCTCTGGAGACATCTTTCCTACCAATGAGCAGAGTTCTAAGGTGCTTCAATCAAGCGCGTGGGGGTCTGATGCCTGCAGGGCAAGGTCTAACACAGGGCCAGGCCACTTGATTTCATCCTGCTGGGGCAAAGTGTAGTATTCTCAGCAACAACTTGAAAGTTGCTCTGGAGTAAGTCTCTCTTCCCCTAGGGGTTAGCCATCATCCGGGGTTGAGAGATAGACCCTATATATCTATGTCCCTAGACAATCACTAGAGTTATTACTTTTTTCCTTCCAGGGGCAAAAGGTACCAGCTGGGCGTTACTGGGGACTCATTTCTCATTCCTTCTGCTGGGCCTCTCCAAACTGTGGGTAGAGCCTTGTTTGCCAGCCCAAACATTTCCTAAGATCATGGCTCACCCCTCTGTGGAGTCTACCCACACAAACTCCACACCTAAGGTTCTGAACCTGCAATGCGTGGACCAAGAGGATCCAATAAATCTGGGGCCTGTTGGATCTGAAATTGTAAACTGAATTTTACATTTGCCCAGTTTTCTGGAGAGTGGATCCACAGCTTTCACCAGATTCATGAGCAATAGGGCCTGGACTTTCCAAAAAAAACCTATTATCTGTCATATGTAAAATGCATTTAGGCTTGGATCCAGCATTCCGATTCTGGGACTCTGTCCTATAAAACTCATCTCCCCTGTGAGCAAAGTCACTGGTGATTCATTGTAGCAATGTTTATAGCAGAAAACTATTGGAAACAATCTAAACATCTATCAATTGACAAGTAGTTAAATAAGTTAGGGTGCACTACATGGAATGAAAAACCATGTACCCATTAAAAAGATCCAAGAAGCTCTAGGAATATGTTTTAGTGCAGTAGTTCTAGGAGAGGGGCAAGGGAGGGGGGGCACTGGGTGATGTCTGGGGACATTTGTGGTTGTCACAACTGAGGAGTGCTCCTGGCATGGGATGAGTGGAGGCCAGGGACGCTGCTCAGCACCCTGCAGTGCCCAGGACAGCCCTACCCCAGAGAATGATCCGGCGCCCCAAATGTCAACAGTGCCCAGGGAGAGAATTCCAGCTCTAGTGTGGTCTCCAAAACACGTTTAATGAAAAATACAGTACACAGGATTATGTAGAGTGTGCTATCACTATGTGTGCGTGTGTTTCTAAAGTTGAGGTGCACACATATCTTTGCAAAGGGACATAAGGAGTCGGTGACAGTCCCTGTCTCTGGGGAGAGGGACTAGATAGATGCCTGAGCAGCAGAGGCAGGAAACTGACTTTTCACTCTACCCTTTCCACTTTATACCTCGTCCGTCAAGATGCTTTTTAAAAGAACTGTTCTAAACGCAAACTTTCCCTGTCCCTGGGCTACCTGGCAAGAGTCCTGTGTCGACAGCCTAGGAACTCGTTTCTTCCCGTTCTCTCCCCCCCATCCCCCAAACTCCGCCTTTCGAGGGAAGGGAAGGAGGCGAGGAGTCCACGTCTCTGGCCAACCTCTGGGGTCATCTCTCCTGTTCCCAAGAGCTCTGCTCAGCCTCCTCAGGGAGACTGGAGCCCACATGGCGGGCAGGGCCTGGGCTACCTCGTAAGCCCCCCCACCGCCCGGCCGTCCTCGGCGTTCCCCACCCGGCGGGGGACACGTGCCAACGCCACCACCTCGGTCCCCTCGGCCCCTTCCCGAGCCACGACCGGGCCGGACCCCCACTCCGGGCAGCCTGGGGCCCGTGGCTCGCCCCCAGACTCGGCGTCCACTCACCTGGCTCGCCTTGTAGAACTGCTTCTTCAGACCCGCCACCGACATGCTGCCTCGCGCCGTCGGGCCTCCCGCCCGGACCGAGCGAACCGCAGGGACCGTGCAAGCGACAGGCTCCTGGGCGCCGCCGACCCCTCGCGCGCCTCAGCGGCCTCCGTGGGCGCCGCCTCCGCCACTCGCTCGCCAGCTCCCGAGCCCGCCCCGGCGCCGCCTCAGCCCCGCGCGCCCGCGCAGCCAGGATATTACATGGCAACCGCACACTTCCGGTGCCGGCCCCCTCCCGGGCCCGTCTGCGCACGCGCGCCCCCTGCCGGCTGGAGAGCGCACGCGCACTTCGCCTGCAACGCGCCTCCGCCAGCGAGTTGAGCGGGCCGAGCCTAGAGGGGTGGTAGAGGCTGCAGCGACCCCTGGGGTCCCGGGGGAGGCTCTGAAGTCTTAGGAGAGGCCCTGAAATTAAACATGCCTGGGGAAGTTGGAAAAGTTGAAGGGGCTCGAAGAGCTCAGGAGGCTGGACTTATAATTCTCCGGATACCTGTTTGCTCATCTTAGCTAAATCCAATTCCTCTGTGTGTTCAGTCCCCGCTCCCCCACCCTGTCTTGTGTTCATCCATTCAGTCGCCCAGGTCAGACATCTGGGTGTAGCTACTTTTTTCATGCTTTGACCATACCACTCTTCTCCAAGTTCTTCCCTCCAATTCATCCCCTGCAAGGCAGCCAGAAAGATGCTTCTAGAACTCAGTTCAGATCACACCAGTCCCCTGCTTAAACTCCACCTATCGCCCTTAGAATACACGCCAGACTTCACAACGTGGCCTCCAAAGCCTACAAAATTTATCTTTGGCAGCTCTGTGACCTCTGCTCTCTTCCTCCTCTTTTTCTTGAGACAGAATCTGGCTTTCTTGCCCGGGCTAGAGTACTGTGGCGTCAGTGTAGCTCACAGCAACCTCAAACTCCTGGACTCAAGCAATCCTTCTGCCTCAGCCTCCCGAGTAGCTGGGACTACAGGCACATGCCACCATGCCCGGCTAATTTTTTCTATATATATTTTTAGTTGTCCAGATAATTTCTTTCTATTTTTAGTAGAGACGGGGGTCTAGCTGTTGCTTAGGCTGGTCTCGAACTCCTGACCTTGAGGGATCCTCCCGCCTCAGCCTCCCAGAGTGCTGGGATTATAGGCATGAGCCACCACTCCTAGCCTGCTCTCTTCCTCTTCTGTAATCCAAGATCACTATTGCCTATGGGACTTTGCTAATGTGGTTGCTTTCTTATGCATTCTTCCCCAATCTTTCCCCCTGCTCTTTGTGCATAAAGAGGATGCCACTTGGAAGGAAACCCCCTCCAGGAAGCCTTCCGTGGTTGATACATGTTTATCAATATTGATTTGTGGATTAACTGTTATTGATTGATTAAAACCATATTGAATGGATTGAAAACTAATAATGAATTGGGATGACTAAATGAATCCAAAAAGAGGAAAAAGAAAAGGACTAAAGCTAAAGTGCTTGGAACTTCAAGGTTGCAATTGCTGACAGATTTGGTTGATTTACTGAAGATGATTGCTGGAAGTTTCTAAATGCCTCAACAGAAGGTAGCAGACTAGATCAATCAGAGGGTTGGGCAGAATACATATGCCCCAACCCCAACCTCACACCCAAGATACTAAAAGGGCTGTTACGAATACTTTGAAAAAGTGCCTGTGTGCTTCTGTTACACACCTCCAACTGTGATCCACTGGTGTAAATCATGACAGAATTCCCGAATGTCAGAGAAGGGATCCTTATGGATCAGACAGGAAAACTGAGGCATTGGATAATGACATGACTTGCCCAAAGTGATGTCCCCAAATTTGCTATTTCTCCACACTTTTCCCAACCAATTCTACTGATCTAATTTTCTAATCTACCTCATTAGAATTCCAAACTTGGGCTAAATTCCAATGTCATCTCCTCACCTCTATTTCTGAGAGATTAAATTGGGGGGGGAAAGCTATTTCTAGACCCACAGGCTGACATTGAAGGTTTGTTCTGTGTGAGGTTTTTAAACAGTTGCGTGAACAGGGCAACACAATTCAATCAAATGATATTTATGCATTCACTCACATATTTATTGAACTAATATGATAGTTACTGACAGATCTTGGGGTCTAGTGACGAATGATTCCTGCCCTCATGAAGCTAATGACAAAAACAGAAATTAATTCATTAGTTAAATAACACACCAATAGATACAGCTGTAATCGCTTCGAGGAAAAAAAACAGTGTTGTAGGCACTTGATGCTGTTAGGGTTGGGGAGGAAAGGGTTCTTGAGGTGTCGATCTAAGATCTGAAAAATAGGTAGAAATTAGCCAGGAAAAGAGCTGCGAAGAGATTGTTCTGGGCAGAGAAAACAGCGTGCGCAAATTTCCTGGGGATTAAACTAAAAACCATCCATTCATTCATTCATTCACTCCGGATATATTTCCTGCATGTCAAATGCTTCAGAAACGCTACCCAGACTTTATTTTGTTGTTCATATAGAAGGCAATTTATAATTTTAATTGCTGTTAATATATTCAGCCGATGTCCCTCCCATTAGGATAAACTCGAAATTTCAGAGTCCTTATCTAATCCCAGTTCCATACCGTCATCCGGTGACGAAAGAGCCTGCCCCTCCCTCCTTCTACAGACTATCCCACGCACTCAGCCAATCGCAGTGCCTAGCTCTCAGCTTGACACCTCCCTCTCCCAATCGCAGGACATCTCCTCCCAGCCAATTACGAGTCGCCAGAGGAAGCCCCGCCTCCCAACGGGAATATCAATGGGGGAGCCTTGGGAGGAATGGAAGCCACGGTTCTCGCGAGGATGTTCCCGTTGCTCCGGTCTTCCCGAGTCGGGGTGTCACGTGACGCGCTCTCGCCCAATCGGCGCGCGGGCTGCGGGGGTCGCCGCGGTTCCCGCCAAATACGAGCGCGGCGGCCGCGGCAGCAGCGGCGCGGGCGGGAGGGCGAGCAGCAGCGGCCGCCGGAGCGGAGCCCGCGCCTCAGCCGCCTGGGGGGAGTTCGAGCCGCCGCCGGGGCGATGCTGGAAGAGCCGGAGTGCGTGGCGCCGGGCGCCGGGGGAGAGGCCGTAGGTCGGTTCGGGCTCGCGCCGAAGGAAAGGGGGGGCGCGGCGCGCGGCCTGTGTGGCCCGAGGCGGCGGTTGGGGGCGGACGGGTCTCCCAGCCCCGGGCCTACTCCCTCGGGCTGGGCATTCGGTCCCTGGGGCCTTATAATCCCAAGCAAGGGCCCTGCGACGCAAAGGACGCTCTCCTTGACGTTATTGTTGCAGCTGCGACCATATTTTTTTTTTCCGACGCGTTTGCCCTTCCCAGGGCCCTCTGGGGTGACGGGTCGGTGAGGCCAAGAGGGGAAACTGAGGCCTGGGGAGGCGAAAGGGCTGACTCTGCAGGTTACCGAGTGCGTTTGTGTCCCTTGACCAAGTTGGATGTTGCAGCGGGTGGGGAAACTGAGGCCCGAGGTCACACGGGCTTGGGGACCAGAACTGCTGCGTCTGCGGGTCGAGGCAAGCCCAGGTAAGAGGCCTAGACGGTAGGGATTGGCAAGCAACTGGGACTCCCAAGTTCTTTCTCCTGCCTGATGACGCAAGGTGACTCTCTCCTTTCTGTGTCTCGGAAGGGGGCTTTATAGCACTCAGAAGGGGTTCCCAAAACGTGGGATGGTGGACCAGGGGAGACCAGACTGCATTCTCCCCTGCTTGAGTCTCCATTACATCCCCAGCACTTGGCACCTAGTGGGTGCCTGATAAATGCTTGAATGAATTAAGGACTGTTAACGGACATTAACGAGTCTAGTCCGGGATTTCTCAAACTAAGCACTATTGACATATGGAGCTGCCCTGGGCAATGTAGGATGTTGCGCACCATCCCGGGCCTCTACCCACTGCATGCCAATAGCAACTCCTTTCCCCAAGCCGTGACAACCAAATATATCATTGCCAAGTGTCCCCTAGGCAACAGAACCCCACCCCCTGGTTGAGAACCATTGCTCTAGTTGCTTCTAGACTTTGGGATTTCACAGAGACATAAAATTATAATGATATAAATAAGTTGGGACTGTCATGGAGCTATAATCTTTTATTCAAGTTAGGATGTTTAACCTTTTTTTAAAAAAAAAAAAGCCCACTTGCTATGGCCATATATTGTCATAAAAGGAAAGGCTGTTTTAATTAAATAAAATTAGAAAGGATGTAATCTCAGAATAAAGAGAAATTGGTAACTTTATACACACATGTGCGAATTGTGTGTATACCTTTGGACAGTCCAGATCCCTGGGGTGGGGGGGATCATTTTAATGTAGACCTGAGGTTGTTTCTGTTCCACTTGCATCAAAACTAGTGACTCAGGGCCACACTAATAAATCCTTGTGGTTGCCCTGAAAATAAATTTATGTGGCTAAACATTATATATCCTTCAGTTGAAAGGAGGGGAAATCCATGTATTTTGATAACTGAAAACGAAGAATGATAGTGTCTTCATTCCCTTGAAACGGGTAGAAAGGAAATGTAAATCTTCTAACTTTTATTCTCTGAGCTTGGGGTGGTGGGTGGTGGGGGGCAGTTTCCACTTGGGAAACTGAGTTTTTTTAGGACACTCCAGTCTGCTTTTTAAAAATACTCACTTTTATATGTAGCTTTTACACAAAATTCTTAGATTAGCCAAAATACCTAGATTTTTCCAAGCCAGATCTCCTAGCAGTTATGAGCTTCTAAACTTATTGTATTTAAAGATATTTATCCAAAGACTTGGTTCTAAGTGTACAGATTTGGTGATGGTGTGAAGGGCCGGGTTGGAGGAGGGTGTTTTGAGGCCATGTTCACAGTGAAATAGGTAATCTGATGTTTTCTCTCATCTCTACCTTTACTCATTCTACTTTTCATTGTTTCTGTTACTCTATTCATTGGCTTCCTGGTATATTCCAGATCCTGAGATGGATGTTGTAGCTACGCTGTGGAACAAGTCTCTGCTATCAGAGCTGGCATTCTGTTTGGGGGAAGACAGAATAAACACAAAAGTTTCAAAGTGCCACAAAGAAAATAAAACAAGACATAACAGTGTCTAGGGTGGGATTTTCTCAACCTATTGATATCTTGGGCCAAATAATGGTCACAGAGGGCTGTTCTGTCCATTGTAGGATATGTAGCAGTATCCCCACCCTCTCCCCACTGGAAGTGAGTAGCACCCCTTTGAGCTATACCTCTTCATGACAACCAAAAATATCTCTAGACATTGCCAGATGTCTCCCGGAGGAGGCTGAAGGGTCAAAATCACCCCCGCTTGAGAACCACCTTGTACACAGATTGGCTCTGCATATCTGTTTGCTAACTCTATTATAACTTTACCCTTTGACACTTTTATTCACAGCCATGGATTGCAAAGACAGACCAGCTTTTCCAGTTAAGAAGTTAATACAAGGTAACTCTGGAATTGGGTTAAATAGTTGTTCCTAATATATATCCTTCATTGCATCCTGTTGGGGTCCTCAGCGAACGCATCAGAGGGGACCAGAGAGGAGAGAAATAGTCGCTCCTTGTACTAGGAAGCTGCTAGACCCATTTTAAGTCAGTAATGTCTCCTGGGATTCCCAGCAGCAAATCCAGAGTGGTCTCCACCTCTGCAGGAGGTTTCTCAGCCTCAGCACGATTGACATTTGGTATTAATAATTTCTTCTCCTGAGAGCTGTCCTGTGTATTGCAGGGCATTTAGCAGCTTCCCTGGCCTCTTCCCACTAGATGTCAGGAGCCTCCTTCAAGTCATGGCAACCAAAAATGTGTCCAGCCCCTGCCCATGTCCCCTGGGAGGTAGATCTGCCCCCACTGAGAACCACTATTTAACAGGAAGATGAGTGTTCCCAAGTCCTTTTGTGTAAAACGGGGAATGCATTAACCCTTAGGGCAGATGAGTGGCTGGATTATATTTTTTAAAAACTATGGTTTCTGGTTTCTAAAACTTGGTTATTAATCTGGTTTGCCACCTCCTGTGACAATAGATGGCAGGTTTGGTGTTGGCGGGAATTGTGGTAAGGGACCCCCAGGCAATCCTTACTTTATAAACTGATAAGAGAATGAATGACCAAGAACAGTCTTACTGATTTGGTCTGTTACATTATGAAATGGTTAATAAAAGATGCTTGGGCCTTTACATGAATGTAGGCTCCTTGGGAAGTTCACTCATCCGAATTTCCTCACTCCCAGAAGTGTTGCTGTGAGTCTCTTATGACCAGACCAGAGTCTGGCAGGCCCCGGGAGGGTAATCGTTTGAGTGATGAGAAAAGCTGACAGAGCCTGCGGTGCTGGGGCCAGAAAGAGAAACCTTTCCACAAACGGGTCCCTGTATTTTCCGCTGGAGAACCAAATGCAGTTATTGTCAAAGGGGATTTTCACCCGTTATAAATAGATTTGGACTATGAACTGGATCTCGAACAGATCAGAAAACGTCTCTCTTGAAATTCTGGCAACACCCCTGCTAAATGCTTGTCAGGTTTTTGTTTTTTTAAAAAATAGGATGTTAGTATACAGTCTGAGCTATTTGATCAGGAAATAAATTAAAAAGAAAGAAATAGATACAAAATTTTCTTAAAAAGATAAAAAAATAAATAGGATGTAGGAAAAGCACAGAATGAAAAGACAGCCCTTTTTAAATTTTAAAATTCTGTTACCACCATCACCCCTCCTCCAAATCCCAGCAAGTGAGTAATTTTTAAACGTGCAGTTGTCGCTCTGCACCTTCACTAAAAAGATGACCTCCTCTCTTCGTTTCAGCCCGGCTGCCGTTCAAGCGCCTGAATCTCGTCCCAAAGGAGAAAGCCGATGACAGCCCAGATGACGCAAGAAGCTGTCAAAGTGCCCCCGTGCAGACTAAAGTCCCTGCTTTAGAGACCTCTTTGGACACCTTGGAAAACGACTGTCATATGGGTTCTGATATAGACTTCAGACCAAAACTTGTCAATGGGAAGGGTCCCTTAGACAACTTTCTAGGAAGTAGAGTGGAAACCAGCATTGGCCAGAGCACAGTCATCATTGACCTGACGGAGGACTCAAATGACCAGCCCGACAGCCCCTCAGACCACAGTAGACTGAATCCAGAGGCTTCTCCCTCCGGGGAGGCTGTAAATGGGGTCATAGAAGAAGCTACAGATCAGCAGGGACTCTCCAAGGCCATTCAGAAGGACAAGTTGGCACTTCCTGAAACAACCCTTTCAGACATTCCTTGCAAAACAGAGGAGGAGGGTGTTGTCCCCAGAGAAGGAGGCGCAGAGAGGAATGGTGACTCCCAGGAAGGTTCACCTCGAAGCTGCCCGGAGCTGACAGGTGGCCCAAGAACGTGCTCCGAAAAGGAATGGGACGGCTGGAGCGAAGCCGGGGGCATCCTGTTCAAAGGGAAGGTGCCCGTGGTGGTCTTGCAGGATGTCTTGGCCGTGAGACCTCCCGGAGCTAAGACTCCCCCCATGACACCTCCAGACAAGAGCGTGACCTCAGAAAGTGAGGTGCTGGAGTCTGGCCTTGAAGAAGACTCTGTCCTCAGCCACTCGTCCCTGAGCTCTCCCTCTCCCGGCAGCTCGCCCGAGGGGCCGTCTGCTCCTGGAAAGCGGACCCGCAGCGTCAGCCCCATGCCTACCTCCATGCCTGCGCGCAGAGTGAGTATCCCCCGTGGAACCCCAGCACATGAGTGCTGACGGATCCCGGAGTGCTTTCTGTTCCCACCGTGCTGCCCACATGGTTAGTGGCCGCGTCAGTGGGGACACAAACTAGTCCTTGTGACTTCCGATGCAGAATTCTTCCTGATGTCAGAAACCGTGAAGTGTTCAGTTCTGTGTGCGTTGCAGTGTGCCCAGGACGCAGTGCAGCTTGTGTGGACGATGCCCTGCCGTTGTGCTAACCATCGTTGTTCACACCCGACCAATAGTGATGGTCAACTTAGCCATTTCAGGGACTAACGGATGTGAGGAGGCACTAAAACCCCCTGCTTCAGACTTTAGGTCCAGTTCCCTCCGTTCCTTCTTCCTGTCCCAGCATAAATGTAGGGATGTCGGGGGCAAGAAGTCACTGAGTGCTGGTGCAGTGACAGCAAGACAGCAGGGAGGATAACAGGGAATTCAGTAGAGTCTGCTCTCCTCAGCTTGGCCGCCCATCTTAAAAACCTCACCCAGAGTCTGGGTGTGTGGCTCACATCTGTAACCCCAACACTTTGGGAGGCCGAGGCGGGAGGATTGCTTGAGGCCAGGAGTTTGAGACCAGCCTGAGTAACAGCAAGAACTAGTCTCTACCAAAAATTTAAAAATTAGCCGGGTGTCGGGGCGTGCACCTGTAGTCCCAGCTACTCGGGAGGCTGAGGCAGGAGGATCGCTTGAGCCCAGGAGTTGGAGGCTGCTGTGAGCTATGATGATGCCACTGCACTCCAGCCCGGGAGACAGAGCAAGACCCTATCTCTAAAATTTAAAAAAAAAAAAACACCTCACCTGGGGCTACCAGAACAAATTATTGAGAAACCTGGCCCCATTTTTAAGGATACCAAAAGGGTAATCTTTGAACTGTCTGTTTCTGTTCCTGGTTTCTGACCAGCACAATGATGCATGTGTCAGTTCTCACTTGTCCTTAAGGTCTTATGGGCAAAGCTGTTAAAATCAGTCATGAATCCCACAGGGTGTTTATTCTTTTGTGTTTTTGGTTTTGTAGCACTTTTATTTGTTTGTGTTAGTTCTTTATATAAGATTGGATCCTGGGATGGATCATTTCATCTCTACTGTACCTGTTTGATTGGACCGTAAACCACCAACCTTGATCCGCTTTCTGAATTTCGATCTGGAAGGGATGATTCATTTTTCTAAATGACTCCATTTCTTATCTTTCCTTTCACCTCTGGAGGAGCACAGGTGAGAGGGAGAAATGGCTCCCTCTTCAGGTTCACGAACTATCAAGGTATCAAGAATGGATTTCTCTCTTGCCCCCGACTGCCCTCTTGTCGTGTGCACTCCCTCGCCTGAATTCTGCTTTGCAGAACTGCTTTGTCGCGCCGTGTGTTGCAGCCGTTTAGCTTGGAGAACAGGACACGAGCCCACGTTTCCATTAAGCTTGTTTTTAGGTCCACAGCTAAGTCTGCGAACTGGGAAGTCACATGGCTGGCCAGTGTCGTGGAGCAGTTTAACCAATGCCCACCACCCAAAACAGTTGTTTCTAAAACAACCGAGCATGTGAACCCAGCGTGCTAAGTTTAGGAAACCCCGCGTCCAGGATGCTAGGTCTTTACTCTGAACACAGGCTTGAAGTTTCGGAATGCTCTAGAAGGCAGTACAGTATTGTCACAACTTTCCAAATAATTTACAAGTGGCGAAGGCTTTGGACTGCTCCAGAGCCCAGAGTGGAAAATTGCCAGTCACCCACAGTGAGCCTGTCCATCACGAGAGTGGGCACGGAGCCCCTGATGTGTGACACCAAAGGTACGAGAGGGAAACAGTGATTTTCGGGAGACTGCTGTGTGCACTCCGGGGGCAGGAGTCTCCGAGACCCCAGCTGGGAGACCTGCGCCACCACCACCCCCCACCCCCAATCTTTCTGGTCCACATCTGTGCCTCTCAGGGGCACTCAATTTCTTGTTTGGTTGGTTCGATGCTTTGCAGTTGTTACCTGACTCTAACACCTTTCCTGCCAGGGGGTCGGCTCTCCCCCAACGCCCACTTCTGTTACTCTGGGGATACTTTTGTTTTTCCACTTCCCTCCGCACCAGCCATTCTTTTCAGACTGTAGGTGGGAACTTGCTGGAAGCTTACAGACTGTTCCATCTTGCTGTGTGAATGTGCGTGGTTGTCACGGAGGTCTGTTCACCCTTGAGTTTGTTCAGAAAAATCTGTGTTTAGAACCCCTAGGCATTCATCGGCTCTCTATTTTGTTTGCTTTCTTTATTTGTACTTTTCTTTTTAAAATATGGGAGCTTATTGAGATGCAATTCCTGCCGTCCCCTCCCAAGGAGCTTCAGGTTTTGTTGTTCTTCATTTGTTTGTTTGTTTTTTTTAAGTACTCCAGGGCTCTGGTGACTCTCACATTGATTTATTTGTTTATTTTAAGTTTTGATTTCTGTTTTTTTTTTCTTTTTTGTTTATTTTTTCACCAGGGACTTTGGAATAACTGAAGAGTTCCTTTTTAGTGTTAGAGCGTTTTACCATGTGGGAAACATGTTTCTCAAGTTGGTTGAGAAACATTACCAGATTTGTAATTCAGCCTGTTCTACTGGGGATCGACACCCGGGATCGAGATTTTCATTCCATATGTGATGATGTCAATGCAGTCGTATTACTGGAATCCTTGGCCTGCCTCTGCGCCAAATGAGCCCAGATTGCTGGGACTTTGTCCTATAGAATTGAAATGATTGGAGTATGAAACCCCCTGTTTAAAAACAATAGTGGAAACCGCCTTAGGGCCCTTTAGCTCTCCCTGGGGGTTGCCATTACCATCCTGTTATATTTCGTTACACTTTGGCGTGGGTGTGAGAGATCCCTGAGAAATACACAGTATCGTTTTGTTTCCTTACAGAAGACATAACCTTAAATGTTTCTTTGTCACTCAAGAGTGTCTTGGATATTTTTTGCATTGGGATGGAGAGATCTCTCTCTCTGCCTGCGATGTTATGCGCCTGTGGTGTGGATACACTGCGGTTTACAGAGTCATCCACACAGGTGGGTATTTCTGGTGTTTCTATGCTTGGCCCTGACAGAACGATAATTGTAATGATCTTCCTTCTACCTGCCCACACGCCTCGGGCTGTTGTCGTGCAGTGACAGAACGAGCTCTCGCCAGCTCCTGGCATCACATGCGTTCGTTTTCTCCAACTTGCACTCCAGTGCAGTGGGATGGATTTGGGGTTTTATGTCTTCCCTCTGTCTTGGCTCTCTTGCTGTTAGCTGCTTATCTACTCTGGGCTGAGACATTAGAGACCCTTAGGTGTAAAATCAGAGTCAGTACCCTGAGAGATTTCTCTTAGGGAAAGAAAAAAAGTGCAGGAATTTTAATGCCCAGACATGGTGAGCTCTGTGTTTACTACTCGAGACGGTTGATTTTCGTGTTTTAGCTTCCTTCTGGGACCTGGGATCGTGTCTTTGGCAGACGAGGGCGCTGCCTGGCTGGGCTCCAAATGGGTAACGCGTGGCTGCGCTGCATGCAATTTTGAGAGTGAGATCTACAAACACTTGGGTCAAATCTCCGGGCGATGAAGTTATATCAGACTGAAAGGTCCATCTGAATGGTTAGTAAAGCAGAAGAGACAACTGGTTTTAAATTAAGTAGTAATTGCTCCGGTTGTTGGAGATTACTAAGCTGGCGGCAGCTGGTCGTTGTCAACTCTGTCATTCCCAATGCACAGTGAAGGGGAAGCGTCGTAAAAGGCACCAGATTGCGCAGCTGGGATTCAAGTACGGGCAGGACTGAGTAAATGCGTTTCCCCCGATACTCTGCTGCAGGACTCCGGCAATCATGTTCCGTGCTGTAATCTCTGAACACAAAGGGCAGCAACGTAGACATACGCAGCTGCTTACAAATTTTGCTGCTAAATCCTTCAGTGTGGGGGTGAAGTCCACGGACTTGGCAGGAAAAGTAGATTCTGGAGAGACAGATGCTTTTTTCTTAAGCGTTTGGTAAGATTGCTTTGGGCCTGCGTTCCTGCTGCCACAGGCCAGCAGGGATTGAGAGCTCCAGCCCCATCTCAACAGTGACTGACCTGCTGCCAACATGGGAGATTGTGCTTCCATATAGCCCCCCAGGGTCCTACTCTGTTGCCCAGGCTGGAGTGCGGTGGCGAGATCACAGCTCACTGCAGCGTCAAACTCCTGGGTTCAAGCGACCCTCCCATCTTGGCCTCCCAAAGTGCTGGGATTACAGGCATGAGCCACCACACCGGACCACATGCCTTCTTAAGACTGTGCTCAGCCCTCCCCTAAAGGAATGGTTCAGTCTAGAGAGAATCAGGTGGGACCCGAGTGAGAAAGCCGTCTGCCCGAGTTAATCTGCAGGGTTTATTCCCTAAGAGGTCCTCCGCAGGGGTCGGCTTTCCCAGGTAAATCACTGTTGCAGTTTTGTCCACCTGTCAGACCACTGCCAGGAAAGTGGGCCTTTGGTCTTTGCACCCAACTTGGGCCTCACTCTGCCAGTCTAGAGTGACCCTGGGGAGTTGTTCCTTCCCAGCCCTCACCCCTCTCTCCACTGTCCTTCATGCTACTAGTCGGGTTGTCAGAACTCCCTGTCCTGCTGGGAGATCACTGAGGCCAAGGTCCAGACTGCACGTTCACGTTCCTACCTGGGACCCTGTGGCCGGATGGTGAGTAAGTCAAACCATGTGCTCAGTGATCCCTGGTAGCCCAGGCTTGGAGCTGGGAGGTAGGGAACACTGTGCCCTGGAGTACAGGTCCCTGGACCTGATCTCCGCCCCTGCAAGCTGCCCTTTCGTCCCGAGCTCTCTGCAAGTTCTAAGCACAGAGTTTCACTAGACAGAGGGTGTAAATTGATGGCCCACAGGAAACCATCCCGAAGACATGTTTCATCTGATTCACATAGTGATAATTTTTAAACATCACCTAAAAAAAAAAAATCAGATTAAATTCCCGGTATCAGCTTCCCTTGCAATAATTGGAAGGATCTGCACCCCTGGCCCTGTGTTCTTGTAAGAACTCTGTCCCCTGTGGACAGGCAGGTCCTCTCACATGTACCACAAACCCGCCCCACCCCGTCCTCTCCCTGTGGTGAGGCCAGCTGCCTGTTGACTGTACTGGGCGTGCTCGCCCTGTTTCTCGCGTGTGTGGCTGGCTTCGTGTGTCTTTATCGGCCTCCACAGTCTTTCTCCTCATCCGGGCCCAGTACGCACGTGTGTGTGCATGTTCACTTGAGTTTGTGACCCCACTGCAACACTTCTGTTATGTTGCTGGGAAAACCGGTCACCTGGGAAGGTTTTTATTCTTCTCGCTTTGCAGAGAAGTTCTTAGCAGCGAGGGTCGCCTATTCCCTCCCGCCCTTTCTCCCAGGCTGGACCAGGCGATGCAGCGAGCGTGTGGAAGTGGTTGGGGCAGTCCGTGTTTACAAATCAATGTCTTTCCTTTCAGATAACTAAGAGGCGCGTCAAAGGTTCTACAGAGAAGAACAAGATCAGACTGCAAAGAGTAAGACATTTTCCCCAAAATAGGAAATTAGCTCGCTGTGGTTTTTTGCATTAATAGGGAGCAAAGCCCTTTACATGTCCTCTGGTCCCATTTTCACCGTTTCCCCTGCTTTTTCTGACTGTTGTTTTGATTCTTGCTTCATTTTACGTAACTGGGTAACCGGGCTTGTGCCTCGTGGACTGCAGTGTTTTGTTTTTAGCTGCTCTAAACCCAAAGGTTCTGCGAGTAGCGTTTTCGAAGCTTTTGTTAGTGGTGGTGGTAGCATTGCCACAGTGTAATAGCTGAACATCCCGTGGTGGTTTTAAACGGCCTTCCCCAGCCCCGGCCTTTTCCCTGAATCCAGCCCAGCCACAGCCCCTACACTAGCCGATTACTGTTTAGCGGCTCCCTGCTGAGCCCCTAATCTGTTCCCTGGGGTGTCACCACCTTTCCCTTCACACACAACAATGGGGAGTTGTTGTTTAAAGGCCTTCCCCACCCCCTGCTGTGTCCACTGGGTGTCTCCTGTGGCTCCACTCAGCTTTTGTGGGTCAGTTTGGAATTTCAGAGCTGTGTATGCGTGAGGGGGCCGAAGAGATTTGATCCACCCGTGGTTTCTAGAAACCTCTGATTTCTTATTTAGCAGCAGGGCAGGAGACTCCCCCGTCACCAACCCACAGGGACGTGGACGGTCTCCGTGTTCAGACCAGTCACCTTCAGGCACCCTGCCCGTCAGGTGCAGACGCGCAAGACATTTGGCAGGAAACGCGCTCTCAGACGTCTCCCAGGGCGTGACCTGTGGCTCCTGTGAAAGCAGCCCAAGATTTATCGGGGCAGATTGAGAACGCTTCCTTAGACGCAGGGCAGATAGTCTCACGCCCAAACCAAATGCTGGTTGTCAGGCTTCTGACCGTTGGGAAGCCCGTCTTGGGTGGGCAGTTGTCCTGTGAGAATCACCTCGTGCTGTGCTGGGAGGTGACTGCCCCTTCTGCCAGGCAGGTGAGCTTGTTCCACGTTAATTTAAGATTCTGTAATTCCTCAGTTGCCCGTTCCTTCTTTGGAAGAAGGAATGGACGTGGTCAAGTGTTCCGACCTCAGAGAACACAGAAGAAATTGGTGGTCACTCCTACCCACTCAATTGTGAAATGACACTGCCCTGTTAGTAGAGAAATTACTCTTCATCCTTCCTTAAGGCTTAACCTTTTCTTATATCCGGAGACGTGGTTTCAAAGAGAAAACGTTATATTTTGACTTTTTGTTTGTTTGCTTGGCTTTTGTTTGTTCTGTGTTTTCGTTTATCTCCCACTGTTTTAAGACTTACCCAGCAGGTTCCCTGTCCTTGCCTTCCTTTTCCATTTCAAAAGAAATCAAATAAACCTTGTCATCTGGTAGTTTGGGGAGGCAGGATATGGCAGGAAATGTGTTTGTTCCAAAGGCAGGGAGGCAAAACCTGTAGGTGTTTTCGTGTCCTTATTCTACCATGGCTTTCTGGTCAAATACACACGCTTCAGACCTAGCAGGGGAGGCCTTGGTCCAGGGGTGGAGGGCTTTTAATTTGTGTCCTAATTAAGTAAAAAAAAAAAAAAGCTTCGCCCCACATTTAAAGAATATGTTTCAATAAATCTTATACCAAATCGCCCACAAGGTGCTGGGACAAATGGCCAATTCCTGTCATTTTCCTCCTGACTGAAGGAAATATTACAGATTAAAAAGTCACTCCTGGCCAGGCGCGGTGGCTCATGCCTGTAATTATAGCACTCTGGGAGGCCAAGGTGGGAGGATCGCTTGAGGCCAGGAGTTGGAGGCTGCAGTGAGCTATGACACCACTGCACTCCAGCCTGGGCGACAGAGCCACCCCGTCTCAAAAAAAAAAACAACAACAAATCACTCCTGTGTAAAGGTGTTGACAGGAGGCAAGGGGTCACACGCAGCCTTGTCTCGTAGGACCAGGAGCGCCTGGGCAAGCAGCTCAGGCTCCGGGCAAAGAGGGAGGAAAAGCAGAAGCTGAAAGAGGAGGCCCGGCGGGCCAGGGAGGAGGCCAAGAAGAGGAGGGAGGAGGAGAAGGAGCTGAAGGAGAAGGAGCGGCGGGAGAAGCGGGAGAAGGATGAGAAGGAGAAGGCAGAGAAGCAGCGGCTCAAGGAGGAGCGGCGCAAGGAGAGGCAGGAGGCGCTGGAGTGAGTGGGCCCCGGTGCTGCGGCCCTGGCCGTGGCTCCCCTCCCTCCCTTCCTTCCTTCCCTCCTTCCTTCCTTCCCTCCTTCCTTGCCTCCCTCCCTTGATTCCCTTCCTCCCTCTCATGTGGGGCACATGCTGAGCCCGGGACGGGCTGGAAGGCGGCTCCGTCCACCCAGGACCTTCCTTCCACTTCCTTCCAGCCGACTCGGGCTCGCTGAGAAGGAGCACGGGCTTATTGTGCCAACTGTGTACCTGCTAAGCTAAAGCTCATTTATTTTCTTATATTCTAGTCACAGGAAAGACTTTACCAGCTATTTTTCATTTTTATTTGTCGAGACCTATTGTAATAGCTCCTTTGTAAACATATGTGTACTATGGAGCATGTGACAGCCTTGTAGTAAACATGAACGTAGTTTGCATTCCTTTAATGCAAAGCAAAATGCTCACTGTGTACAGAACTGTGGGGTACTGCGGTCGCTTCTAGAACCAAAGCCGAAGGTTGGCTGAAATTGCACTTGCTGTCTCTCTCACAGGGCCAAGCTCGAGGAAAAGAGGAAAAAGGAAGAGGAGAAACGGTTACGAGAAGAAGAAAAGGTAGTGTTTCCCACCAGGTGCTCTGGCCCCTGGGAGAAGCAGATGTCCTAAGTGGGGTCCTTGCCTGAATTGCCGCCTAACGCTCTCTTGCTCTGGGGATGGCAAGTGGCTCCCACAGGGACTGAGGCATCTGTCTAGATATGTTCTCATGGCTTATTCCAAGTGCTGGCTTGTCACACATCCCCTGGCCAAGCACCCTGGCAGAGCTGCCCGAGAGGACGACCCTGATGTTTTGAGGTTGGCGGGCATGCAGTTGCTGGTCGGCGGGTTTTGTTTTTTTTTTTTTTGAGACAGAGTCTCACTCTGTTGCCCGCACTAGTGTGAGTGCCGTGGCATTAGCCTAGCTCACGGCAACCTCAAACTCCTGGGCTCAAGCGATCCTTCTGCCTCAGCCTCCTGAGTAGCTGGGATCACAGGCATGTGCCACCATGCCCGGCTAATTTTTTCTGTATATTTTTAGTTGTCCAGATAATTTCTTTCTATTTTTTTTAGTAGAGACGGGGTCTCGCTCTTGCTCAGGCTGGTCTCGAACTCCTGAGCTCAAACAATCCGCACCCGGCTGGTTGGCGGGTTTTGAGAGCCGAAATTACAATTGTACCTTCAACTTACTGCTTGGGATTCAGCTCTGAAGGCCTTGGCTAGTTTTACAACACACACTGTCAGGCCAGGCAGGGTGGCTCATGCCTGTAATCCTAGCACTCTGGGAGGCCGAGGCGGGAGGATTGCTTGAGACCAGGAGTTCGAGACCAGCCTCAGCAAGAGAGAGACCCCAGTCTCTACTAAAAATAGAAAGAATGAACTGGGCAACTAAAAAAAAAATAGAAAAAAATTAGCCAGGCGTGGTGGTGGCACCTGTAGTCCCAGTTACTTAGGAGGCTGAGGCAGGAGGATCGCTTGAGCCCAGGAGTTTGAGATTACCGTGAGTTTGACTGATGCCACAGCACTCGAGCCTGGGTGACAGAACGAGACTCTGTCTCAAAAAAAATTAAAAAAAAAACAAAACAAGACACACTGTCCTCGTCTCCTCCTCATCATCTTCTCTTATGTCGCAGCGCATTAAAGCAGAGAAGGCTGAAATCACAAGGTTCTTCCAGAAACCAAAGACCCCACAGGCCCCCAAGGTGAGCCGCTTCCCCTGGCTGCAGTCTGTGCTTTCCGAGGCCCTTGCTTTTTAAACATGAAAGGGCGTTCACGAGTCAGGTGCTGCAGTGGGAAAAACAAAAAGGAAAGGTACCTTGTGACCAGCTGGCTTCCCCTTCATCGATGGGGAGGGAGCTTCTGGGGACCCCTTTATTCCTGGTAAAGTCTGCAGGTTCAGTATTTTGTCCTTTGCTTTGTCCCCAAAAGGCAAAAAAGTGTCGTGTCTGATAAACAGCTCTGTTTTCAGAGGCTGCTTCGTGAACGGTTTCGTGTCAGGGGCACGAGGAAATGACCTGGTCCTTACCCTCGGGGGATTTGTGCACGAGAAGGGGTGGGTGTGGCTATGAAACGACAGAGCATTCGGCACAGAGTTTACTTTCCCAGCCTGGTGTGCGTCACCCGGCGGAGCAGACCTTCCAAGCCACCGTGTGTACATGGCGACCCCGCCCTGCCGTGTCCCTTCCCCCAGAGGGGCCCATCTCCTTCCAGATCCTTTCTGTGGACCTACACCCGCCCCCAACACACACACTGTATTTACGTGCACGTACGATTCGGGGTTGGTCTGAATTTATCACGGTGCCTCCTTGGTTTACTTTGCTGAGTCTGATTTTTGCCTTTTGCCGTGTTGCTACGTTTAGATGTTTTTCATTCTTATTTTTTTCTTTTTCTTATGGCTTTTTTTATCTCAAGATGTTTTAATTGGCAGTAGTTGAACCAGGTGCACAGCGTGACAATCTGACATGCACACTCACCTTGTGATGGTGGCCTCAAATCATTTCATTCCTTTTCATTGCTGCACAACAATTCGTAAAGCCATGGTGTCACGGTTTATGTGCCCCATCAGTGGTGCAGCAGAAGTGGCACAGAGCTCACGGCGAGGGTGTGGGTCCTTGCTTTTCCCCACATGGACAAGGGATGTTCCCAGCACCCTTTCATGAAAAGGAACCTCTCAGTTCTTGGCCTCAGCTGTGTGTTGGAATCGCTGCGGAGCTTTAAAAAAATAGCAGAGCCTGCATCTTATCCCGGAGACTCTGACCGGTTCGATTTGGGCATCAGGGTGTTTGCAGTTCTCCGACGGCTCTGCCGTGTGGCCAGAACACTGAGGTCTGCCGGCCTCGGCCATCCTCATGTGCTGCCAGCTTGGCATCCACTGGTGCAGGCGCTGAGGGTGCCGGAGGAGGTCAGGAAAGGGGAGCCCAAGTCTACCCGCGTGGAGAAAGGGCCGAGACCGAGAAACCAGAAACAACGTTAGGGGCTCACACCAGGCTGCAGTGTTGAAGTCTGCTTTGTGTCATAAGATGTCTTACATTTTAACCGTGTGGCTCTGAGCGAGCTGGTCACACTTCCAGGGTCTCGGTTCCCTCGCCTGGGCACCGTGGTAGGACCTAGTGTCTGGTCCCAGCTCAGCGCTTGGTGGAGGGGTGGGAGGACAGACTTTTTCAGGACTTGTGGTAAGTTTTGACAGCTGTTACAGGACCACGTGATCAGCCCATAGTGAGGTGTAAAATGTTTCCATCACCCCAGACAGCACCCTGTGGTCAGTCCCCCACCGCACCCCAGCCTCACAGCCACTGATCGGTCCTGTCCCTATAGCTGTCTTCTCCCGAAAGGTGTAAGTGGACTCACGGCACGTGGCCCTTGAGTCTGCTCCTGTGACTCAGCCTGGATGAGTCTTAGCCCATCTGCCACGTGTCTGAGGTTCATCTTCTGCGCCGCTCAGGGTCCCATTGGGTCTCGCCTTGATTTCAGACCCTGGCTGGCTCCTGTGGGAAGTTTGCCCCCTTTGAGATCAAAGAGCACATGGTTCTTGCCCCCCGGTGTCGGGCCACCTTCGACCACGACCTGTGCGAGCAGCTGGACCAGCTCCTCCAGCGGCAGAGTGGGGAGTTCTCCTTCCTGAGAGACCTGAAAGGCCGGCGGCCCCTCAGGTCGGGACCCACCAGGGTTTCCAACCGGAACGCAGACATCGTTAACAGGTTAGAGCCAGGGGCTGTCCTGTGCCGTCGGAGAAACCCAAGGGCCGTAGTCAGAGCCCTGGGGAGCGCAGGGCAGGGGCTCCAGCCCCGGCCTGCTGCGATCTGCTGCGGCCCTCGGGTCATCGTCCCCTCCCAGGCCTTCTAGTCTGTCCAGGAGGGACCCTGTCTCCGTGCTGGTCTCCACTGAAGGGCACCCCCTATTCTCTCCTATGCGTGTCCCACACCACCCCCTTACTAAAGATGCTGTGGGGCAGCACCTGGGCCCCTTCCTCCCTGTCTCCCCCTAAGCTGTACCCTCGGTCTGCATCCCCGAGTCCCTGCCCCTTACCGTTCTCGGGGAACAGGTGGTGCTGCTGCTCTACGATCACCCGTCTTCTCAGAAGTGTTGTGGCCGACTTCACCAGGGAGACCCCGGGTGACACGTGAGCGGGTTCCTGAGAGCAGTGTTTTCCCTTCCCAGTGACGTCGTAATCGTGGAGAGCGGGAAGGTCGCCGGCGTTCCCGAGCGCAGGAAGTTCGGCAGGATGAAGCTGCTGCAGTTCTGTGAGAACCACCGGCCGGCGTACTGGGGCACGTGGAACAAGCACTCGGCGGTGATCCACCCACGGGACCCCTGGGCCCAAGACAGGGTAAGCAGGTGGCAGGTGCGGCTCTGCGCTCTCAGACCCCGTGCAGGCACTCGCTTCTCCACTCGGCCCTTCTCTTCCCACCCCGAAGATAACGGTGATGCCCCTGGGTTTCTTTTCTCAGAACCTCCTGGACTACGAGGTGGACAGCGATGAGGAGTGGGAGGAGGAGGAGCCCGGGGAGTCCCTGTCCCACAGCGAAGGGGTAAGGACGGGCCTGGGGCGATGTCAACTTCCAACCTGAAGCCACGGCGGCCCCAGGCTGGGTCTGCTCACAGGCGCCTGGCGTCTGACCTGCAGTGTGGCCTGAAAATCTAAACCCAAAACCCATAGTTCATATCTGGATGTCCAGCTCCTCTTGCAAAACCTCCTTTGGGGACAGTCATGCGCCTGGCAGCTGTGGGTTGGAGTTCAGTGCACTGTGATCCACACACCCCCTTCTCTCACACCTCCGGCCTGCTGTGCTTCCACTCTGCCTGGCTCCCCAAGCCCGCTGGGACCTAATGGGGTTTGTGCTGACCCTCGCGATATCCGTAGCAACAGCCCCATACATGGCAAATGTTGAGAAATTAACTTTTTTTGACACAGGGTCTTGCTCTGTCACCAAGGCTAGAGTGCAGTGGTGCCATCATAGCTCACTGCAGCCCCCAACTCCTGGGCTCAAATGATCCTCCCTCCTTGGCCTCCCAAGTAGCTGGGAGTACAGGAGCATGCCACCACTCCTGGCTAACTTTGAAAATTTTTTTTATAGGTACGGGGTTTCACTATGTTGCCCAGGCTGGTCTCGAACTCCTGGCCTCAAGTGATCCTCCCGTCAAAGCGCTGGGATTGCAGGCGTGAGCCACCACACCCAGCCCAGGCTTACATTTTCATGATGCGGCATGTGCTGTTTTCCCATATGATGAACCTACCTTTTCTTCTCTTTTTGAGGATGATGATGATGAAGTGGGTGAGGACGAAGATGAGGATGATGGGTTTTTTGTGCCCCACGGGTACCTGTCTGAGGACGAAGGCGTGATGGAGGTGAGGGAGGGAAGGGGCGGTGACAGTGGGTCCCTACCTGCCCATAAGTGACTCAGCACGTGCCCCACCCTCACCGTAGCCTTGGGGGGGTTCTCTGTCAGTTGGTCGGTTGGTTTGCAGAAGTGGTGGAACCTGAACTTGGTTTTGCCTGGGAGGGTGGAGGACCTTGCAGAGGTCAGAGGAGATTCCAAGAGAGGGGAGCTGTAGGAGCAGAAACCCTGGTACGAGGGAGCAGCTGTGGCTCGTGCACTAGAAGGATGGAAACCTTTTTAGCTGAAGAGCAGTTCACCGGCACCACGACACGAGCACACCTTAAGTATTCAGTTTGGTGACTTTTAACCATCTAGCGCATGTGCTCAACCACGACCCAGCATACGACGTAAAACTTTCCTGTCTCTCCGGGAGGCTCCACCTTGTCCCTGCAGGTGGACCTGCCCGCCACCACTTTCTAAATTCTGTAAGATTGTGGAACTTTTGAGCAAGCTGTTTTTGGAGCTCCAAAGTCCTGTTGGGGTGCAGTGTTTCAGGGTGGGGATTCAGTGAGGGGTCTAGCAGGGTCGGGCTCGAAGGGCGTGCATTCCTTGTGCATCTCCAACCGGGGCAGCCTGATGGGGTCTCACTGCACCCTCAGGAGTATGTCTCAGAGGGTGGTCTCAGGCCTTGTGGGCAGAGGCCTGGCCCTATTGGACAACTCCACAATCCCACATTGACCAGGGAATTGAGAGTGGCGTTAAGAAAGGCCTAGTGGATGAGGTCTTTAAAATATTAGTATCTGTGACTTGTCCAGAGGAGTCGGGGTGTGGGTTATCGTTCAGTCGAGAAACGCTCTCTACCCGCGTCCTCTCGTCGTGGGGCTGGAGGAGGGAAGACCAGGATGCAGTGGGCACCTGTGGAGGTGGCATGTCCTGCTCCGCCCCGACTCCCTACATAGCTTTGCACCCCATCCTCTCCTCTGGGTACCGGAACGGCGGAGAGTGCCCAGGGCAGAGATCCCCAGATCACCCTCTGCTTCCTGATGCCAGGAGTGCACTGACCCGGAGAACCACAAAGTTCGCCAGAAACTGAAGGCCAAGGAGTGGGACGAATTCTTGGCCAAGGGGAAGCGGTTCCGCGTGCTCCAGCCCGTGAAGATCGGCTGCGTGTGGGCATCAGATGGGGACCGTGCGGGCGCTGACCTGAAGGTGCTGCAGCAGTTCACGGCCTGCGTCCTGGAGCCGGTGCCCGCTGAGGAGGAGCAGACGCCCAAGGCCTCCAAGAGGGAGAAGAGGGACCAGCAGAGTGAGTGAGGAGTTGCATGTTAGGAGGGAGAGACGGGCAGAGGGTTAGTTGTGTGGGTGCCGCCCTGGCTTAAATCCGTGTACCGGGCCGCCCGCCCCTGCAGCGGTGCTCCGTGAGGGTGGAGGAGCCCTGTGCAGTCCTGCCCCCTCGCCCCGTCTCCTCGCGTGTCTCCGCGGCTCACGTTCGTGTCCCCCCTCCCACCAGTCCTGGCCCAGCTGCTGCCGCTGCTGCACGGCAACGTGAACGGGAGCAAGGCCATCATCCGCGAGTTCCAGGAGCACTGCCGCCGGGGACTGCTCAGTGGGGATGCCGGCAGCCCCCCGAGTCCCTCCTCTTCCCGCCCACAGACCCCCACCGTGGACACCGCTGTCCCCTCCAAGGCCAGGCTAAAGCGGATCATCTCCGAGAACTCGGTGTATGAGAAGCGGCCGGACTTCAGGATGTGCTGGTACGTCCACCCGCAGGTGCTGCAGAGCTTCGACCAGGAGCACCTGCCCGTGCCGTGCCAGTGGACCTACGTCACCATGGTGCCCTCGGCCCCCAGAGAGGACAATGGCGGCGTCCCTGCCGCAGGGCCCGGCCAGGGGACGCCCACCTCACTGAAGAGGAAGTCGGCGGGCAGCATGTGCATCACCCAGTTCATGAAGAAGCGGCGGCACGACGGCCAGGTGAGGGGTTGGCCGGGCCTGCGAGGCCTGGCGGGGCACCATTGCGGTGGCTTTTTTCTTTTTCTAAAGAAACTACTTTTTAAGAGCAGTTTTTCTTGGTCCTTAGTGTTTGACGTATGGTTTGTGCAAACGAATGGCATCTGCCCACCGTAATAGAATCGTGCAGAGAAGTTTCTGTGCCTGAAATCCCGTGTGTACCACATGTTCGTTCCTCTGGCAACCACCGATCTTTTTACTGACTCCATGGCTTTGCCTTTTCCAGAATGTCCTACAGTTGGAACCACACAGTATGTAGCTTCTTGCACTTAGCGATATGCATTGGCAGTTCCTCCTCGTCTCTTCTCAGCTTGATAGCTCATTTCTTTTTCGCACTGAATAATATTCCATGTGGTCAGGTTTTTATTTTTGTGCTTTCGTTCTTTATTTCTGCATTCATTGAGCACGGTTATTAAGCGCTTTTTCGGCACCAGGCACCCTGACTTGTCTCGTAGACACGGGGAGGCACACAACGCCATCTGGTTACAGCAGCCCGTTGGGTGGGTGGCTGTGTGACTACAGACTGATGAGGGCCTCGGGGGAGCAGGTGGGGGCTGTGGGACGCGTAACGGGAGGCTGCCTGGCCCCGGGAAAGGAAACCCTTGTGCTCAGAGTTGGGCCTCTGGAGCCCAGCCCCGGCCACAGACAGGCTTCTTCGGTGTTCGGTGTGTGCTCCCTGCCCCCCGAGCTGTGAGTGTAACGGGGTTTCTTTTCTTACACCTGCTCTTACTGGAAAGCTGTTTTGCCCAAGTGCTGGGCCTTCATTTGAGGCCGACACCTGATGGAGTTACAGGTTTTCTGAGACTGGACCGTAGAGGACAGGATGAAGGCGGCACAAGAGCCAGGGTCCCGCGACTCAGTCCCATGCCCTCTCCAGAGGGGGGTGCGTCTGAGGGAGCTACGTGTCTGTGTTAAAACGGGTCGTTAAGGGCAAGGAGGTGAGAGAAATGGCTCCTGGGATGATGTCTAGCCATCTCCCTGCTGCCAGCAGACACACATGGTCTTTGACACGTCACAGACCTCCCTGAGCTGTCACAGCAAGAGGGAGCATCAGGACATCCCGGGGTGTTGTTGACACAGCTGCTCCTGCCGCTCCCCGGAGCCCCTGTTCCTACACAGCTTGGCATGGGTGTGCCCAGCTCCCCCGATGCCTGTGGATACAGCTTGGCTGGTCTGGCACTCACGGGATTGGCGCCTGGGGCCCACGGACACTTCCCTAAAATGACAAGTCTCTGTAGACAAGTTATCTTCTCGAGCCCGTTTGAGCAGCAGGACTGTGTCATTGTCATTATCACTGTTAGCCAGACAGTCTCAGAAGGAATCCGAGCGTGGCCTCATTGGCTGAGACAAGCAGAGGGAGTTGCAAGGTGACTGGGGCCAGCAGGGCCCCTTTGTTGGTGTCACTATCTGAGCAGTGTTCATGGCCATTGACCCTGTCACTCTCCTGGGGAACCCCTGTGCTTCTCGGATGTTCTGTCAGGCTCTCCTTGTCCCCCCCTGCAGTAGCCCAGGCCCTGGACGGCGTCTCCTGCCCCCTCCCACCTTGTCTGACGGGGCGGCTCCCCCTCTCCCCGGCGTGGGGTGCAGTGCCTCGTCCCTCAGTCCTCCCGTGTTAGGAGCACTGCTGTGTTCCTGAGCACTGCTGTTACTCCTTTCCCTCTCGGCTGTCCTCGTGACCATATGTAACCTGCATTTCTGTCCACGGAAAACAATGATCACACCAAACACCGTAGGTCAGTTGCTGCATCTGGTGGGTGGTGGGCACCTCAGGTCACCTAACCTCCAGGAAGGAGAGGAGGCTCCCGGTTAGACCAGGGTGGGCCAGAGAGTTGGTGTCCGGGAAAGCCCGGCCTCACCTGCCGGCGCCCATGACCTGCGGCCTCTGCTCCCTGCCACGCGTGTGGGAGGACTCGGGCTGCACAGGAGGGAGTCAAGGTGCAGTTGCTGCTTAACTGTGGGGGGGTGCACGTACAGATTTTTCATTAGGTTGGGCTTTTTTTCATTTTTGAGAGCTTTATAATCTTTTCGTTTCGTGCTCAGAATTGGTGTTCACGGGCATCCCGACCCAGTGGGACCAACAGGGCCCAGCTTGGACTCCAGCTCTGCCGCTGACTGTCTGTGACACAGACAGTGTCTGTGGGACACAGCTCTTTGGGCCTTGGTTTTGTTTAACAGTTTAAAAATGCGGCCAGGGTCTGTTTGTGCTCTCCAGCAAAACGTATCCCGTGATATCAAAGCGACAGGGAAAGAACCATCTTCCGTCCCCGTAGTTGCTAAACGTTTCCTAAGTGCTATGTTCCGGAGTCCCGGCTCTTCTGTCTGCATTTAGCACGTGCGGCGGCGGCAGTGAGATGGCAGCTTTCCCGCCAGCAGAAGCTGCCACAGCTCTGAGCATGGTTCGTTTGGCGTCGCGTTTTAAAGCCTTCTTGTGCCGGGAGGGCCAAGGATGGTGATTGCTCTGGAAGGTTTTGGATCCAAAGAAAACCTAGTGCATCAGATGCTTGCATTTCCCGTATGGAGGGGCCGGCTCTGGAGAAAAGGGTTTGTTCCTTTTCCTTAGTGTTCCCAGGCAGACACTTCCAAGTCCAGGTAGCTGTCGTGAGCAGTCCAGAGGGCTCTTCTAGTTCTTTGAAATGGCCCTCAGCATGCTCACCGTGGTAGGTCCTGCAGCTCGGGGAGGGTGGGCCCAGGAGTGGAGCCTCCACCCCAGGAATTGACAGGGCTGCTGTGCTCTTAAATGCCAGGCCAGGGCCAGGACACCAGGTCACTGCTCTGTTGTGGCTTTTCTAGGCAAATGGAGATTTTTTGTCAAAGAATTCCAAAAGTTTTGAAAGGTAGCACCTCTGATGAAGTAAGTGCATCTCCTTCTACGGGGACGGTTTTCTTTCTTTCTTTTTTTTTTTTTTTTTTTTGAGACAGAGTCTCACTGTGTTGCCCGGGCTAGAGTGCCGTGGCGTCAGCCTAGCTCACAGCAACCTCAAACTCCTGGGCTCAAGCGATCCTCCTGCCTCAGCCTCCCGAGTAGCTGGGACTACAGGCATGCGCCACCATGCCCGGCTAATTTTTTCTGTTTTTAGTTGTTTGTCTACTTTCTTTCTATCTTTAGTAGAGACGGGGTCTCGCTCTTGCTCAGGCTGGTCTCGAACTCCTGAGCTCAAGCAAACCTCCCGCCTCGGCCTCCCAAAGTGCTAGGATTACAGGCGTGAGCCACCGCGCCCGACCAGGACGGTTTTCTCATTCGCTCACAGAGAGCGTGAGGATGCGTGTGGAGGCGCACCTTTGCCACTTGGTGCGTTTTTCTGTGATGAAAGCAATGAAAACAGCTCGCCAATGTCACTGGAAATTCAGACCCTCAGGGGAGGCCCGCCCCACCCCACCCTGCCCCTGCTGGGCCCCCTGCACAGCTGCCCAGCGGGGTTCTCGCCGGCAGACCTGGTCTGAGCGGAGCTCCACTGAAGAGACAGTCCCACGCCGAGGCAGAGGCGGGGAGATGCTCAAGGAAGAAAATACTGACTGGCTGAGTTCTCAGCCGTTTCTTCACAGTAATAAATTCAGAGAAGAATGTATGTTTATCAGTTGCTCTTTCAAACCAAACTAGAAATCCGGAATTTCTTTTTGATTCAAAAGTAATTCACCAATTGCAGACACGCATTGCTTAACGAACGACAGGGATGTTCAGAGCAGTGCGTCGCTGCGTGAACATCACGGAGTGCACGCAGGCACACCTAGACGGTAGCGCCTGCTAAGCGCCCAAGCCACCTGGCGCGGCCTGTTGTACCTGGCTGTGCACCTGCACACCAGGTTTCTGTCGTGTGTACAGTGGGTAGCTGCAACACAGTGGTAAGTACTTGTGTCTCTAAACATAACTGAACGCAGAGGTGGCGCAGCACAGATACGGTGTCATGATCTCATGGGACCACCATTGTGTGATGTGGTCCATTGTTGACCGAAACGGCTTTAAGCAGCTCAGACTGTACTTTTGTGCTGAAGTGGATGATGATGGTCGTGGTATTTGGAGATCTGTCTTTAATTCATTTTCGAGAACCCACGAAGTTTTCCTCTGGTCGTAGACTCTCAGACAGACTTCTCACATCTGGACAGTTTGTTGCCAAATTGGGTCCAGGATGTTGGGAGCTCCCAAGGTGTGGGGAGTCGGGGAGAGAGGCCACCCCCCTCACAGGCCCCAGGGACATGGCCGCCCACAGGGCACCATCGTGGACGTCTCCTGCTCTGCCAACAGCCGTGCGCCCTGTCTGCCTAGGTCGGTGCTGAGGAGATGGACGGCTTCCAGGCGGACACGGAGGAGGAGGAGGATGAGGAGGGTGACTGTGTGATCGTGGATGTCCTGGATGCTGGGGGTAAGAGGGCTCCCCCGCCTGGGCTTTGGGACTGGCAGGGAAGGGGGACAGTGCCTGGCCCTCGCTCTGTAAACAGCACGGGGTTGAGCTGAAGCCCGGAGATGGCTGAGGCGGGCAGGTTGCCTGCGTCTGGGCAGCGGGTTCCAGCCCGGGCCCTGTTGGGGAGGCTGTCTGGGCACCACTGAGGGCACAACCTCTGCACAGGCTTCTCCAGGGAGAGCAGGGCAGCTGCCTCTGTGGCTCTGGGAGCCCGAGGTGCGCACCCCTCAGCCTTGGTACTGCCTCAGTTTCCTTGACTTTGCCCTGGGAGCCTCCTCCCTTCCTGGAGGGGTCAGGCTCACTGAGAAATGACAGTAGAAAGTGCACAGGTGTGAGACAGACACGTGGCTGAAACCTTAGCGGCAAGGCAGGGGCGGGGCTGCTGTTGGTCCCTCAGTGGCATCGAGGAAGGCCCTGGTGTGGATGTGAGGGCTGACATGCAGCAGCAGTAACAGTGACAGGGCCGGCACTGGCTGCTCTGGCCACAGTGTCCTGGGGGCATGGGCTGGAAGTCTTGGGGGTCGGGTAAGTCCTCGCTGAGGAGCCGAGGGAAGTGCGCAGGCCCTGGGGCAGGCATTCAGGGAACGAGTGTGGTGGAAGGGGGCCTGGATCACCCCCTGTTCTGGGTGAGGGCGGGGGCATGTCAGCTGGAGCTCTCCAGCCAGGGGACTAGCAGCCTGAGCCTCCTCCCCTCTTCCCACTGTGGGATCAGGGTCCCGCCCCCACGGGCTCCCCGGGGCTGTCTCAGGCCGCCATTGGCAGCAGGGTGGGGGCTGCTCACCAGAGAGCCTGGGGGCACGGCCAGTGCGAGACCCCTCCCTCTCGCCCCCAGAGGTCCGGGCCGCGTGCGGAACTTCCAGAGCCGGGGTTGCCGTGGGAATGGACACCAGCGAGAGCCCCCTGTCCGCGAGCCCGCTCAGCGCCTCCTGAGGGCGCCCGCCAGGCCAGCAGCGAGTGTGTATAGCGTGGTTGGGGTGTCCTCGGACACGGACCAGATGCGTGACCAGACCCGACTCCTGTGTAAAGAGCACTTTGTCCTGCTTCACGGGCCTCCCCGGAGGTTCGGAAAGTTTATATAGGATGCTTGATTGGTTCTTGGTATTTGTAAAAATGCCCTCAAAAGCGCCCTTTAATCTGCCCTTTAATAAAGCATTATTGAGACGTGATGGCCTGTACGGGGAAGCCTGTCGCACCCCCAGGCTCAGGGACAGGCTGGGATCCAATGCTTGTAAATGAATTGAAACACCAGCGCGGCCGCCGTCTGCTGTGACGCGGCGCCTGGGCAGCATGGGAGTGTATAAACTTACTGTCTAGTCCTGACGCCGCCTCCTGTCATCTCTGAGCAGTGTCTCTCTGTGCGTTCGCCTGCGGCCCCGCCCCACGTGGGGGCGTCTCTGTCAGGCTCCGTGCCCTGCGGGAAGCGCGGTCCGTCTGTCAAGCCCTCGGCACACGACAGCCCCTCCCACCCTCGGGTGGTCGAGGAGCGTGTGTTCCTGGAGACCTGCCGGGTCAGGCGCCTCAGCTGAGCACTGGCCCCTAGGTCAGGCATGTCTTGGGGTCCCCAGAATGCTGGGTCTTGAGGTGACATCCTCCCCGCCCTGGGGTCGAGATGTCTCTGCCCCCACTGCCACAGGGGCAGGAGCTGGCTGTGCACATGCAGAGCACTCAGCGTTGACTGGACACGGCCCGGCTGGGGCCGCCCTCGCCCAGCCCTGCTCCTCCTTCGGGGCCTCCCTCGTCCCCAGCCCCATCGGGTGGGGTTGCAAATACTGCAGTTGCAGGGCGAGGGGCCAGACCTCGGCTGGCCAGGCAGCCTCATCCATCCCCCCGGTCAGGGACACGTGTGACCTGGGCGAGGCCTTCCTGCCGGGAAGCAGGACAGGAAGGAATCTGAAGCAGAGACCACACCCCTGTGCGGTCCCAGTGACAATTGGCACACAGGGGACATGGGAGGGACCAGAGTAAGGGGCCTCTATTCTCAAGCTGAGCACCCACCACCACCCAGAGCAGTGCTGGGGCCCGAGATAGGGCAGCGAACAGGTTGGGTTGACACGGCAGGGAAACAGGCAGCTGCTGGTGGCCCAAGTGTGATCAAAAGGCTCCCGGCTGAATCCTCTGTAAGAGGAGAATAGTGTTTAAATCACACTGGGAGACGTGGCGGTGCCCACCTGTAGTCCCAGCTATGCCGGAGGCTGAGGCAGGAGGATCACTTGAGCCCAAGAGTTGGAGGCTGCAGTGAGCTGTGATGAGGCCACTGCACTCCAGCCTGGGTGACAAGAGCAAGACCCTGTCTCAAAAAAAATCATGCTTATGGCCTCAAAGCTTTGAGTCTGTCACTCAGGTGCCAGTGGCCAGTCTAGAGGGAGGAGACCCAGGTGTCTTTAGGAAGACCAGCCACGTGGGGCCAGCCTGGGGTGCGGGTGAGGGGCCCATCCAGGGGCCGACAAGACCCCAGGCCCGGGCACCCCGCCCCAGGTGCAGACCCCTCTCCCGCCAGTCAGCTGTGGGACCCAGTGCGTCTCTGGTGCACGTCCCGCGGCTGCTGTACCACATCAACTCGGCAGCTTAAAGCAACACGTTTGTCGTCTCATGGCTCTGGAGGTCAGGAGTCTGACACAGCCCTCTCTGGGCTGACGTCAAGGCCTGGCAGGGCAGGTCCCTCCTGGGGCTCCAGGGGAGAACCCGTCTCCTGCCCTTCCCAGCATCTAGCGGCCGCCTGTGTCCCTCGGCTCAGGGCCCTTCCTCCCCCTTCAGAGCCAGTAGCGCAGCGTCTTCCAGTCTCTGCCTCCGACCCTCCGGCCCCCTGGTTCATCCAGGGTGACCTCCTGTCTTAAAATCGTTTATCATATCTGCAGAGCTCCTTTTGCCGTGGAAGTAACAGCTACAGGTTCCAGAAATAGGACATGGACGTCTTTGGGGAACACTGTTCTGCCGGTCACAGCAAGCCAGGCCTGTGGGCTCAGCACAGCCCCTGGCTCGTCCTGGGAACTCCTCCCTGAGAAGAGGTGGCTCCTCTGGGGGGCTGGGTGGCCAGACCCTGGCCCCACCTGAGTAGGAGCCAGCCCAGTCCCCAGGTGCCACTCAGCTGGCAGCCACTGGCCCTGCCCAGGGCCACGTAGTTGGAATGAGGCACCAGGAAGCTATATCCAAACATCCTATTTATTTAGTTTCATAATTTAGTAGTTAAAGGTGTCACCAGCATCCCCCATGGCAACCGCAGTGCCCGCTGCACGGGAACCGGGCTGTGCTGCAGACCTGCTCTCCTGCCAGGGAGACACCCGGGGGCTCCGTGACGCCGCTGCACAGCGGCGAGGGAGGGCTCAGCTGTAGGGCCGCCCCAGGCCCTCCCCGGGGGGCTTGAAAATCTCCACACCCTCCCCCTCCATGGGGCTCCCCAGCCAGCCTGCTCCCCTCCTATGCCGTGGCGCAGGGCATGTGTTTCCAGAGGTGGCTGGAGGCTCTGTGGGGACAGGGATGGGTGGGCATGAGACAGAACACGGGGCCGAGGCCAACCCGGCTTTTATTTCATGAGAGCATCTCGATGGCTGACAGCAGCTCGGGCTTCAGGATGGATGAGTCGGGCTTGGCCCCCGCAGCCTTGACGTCCTCCAGCACGGCCATGTCCCACGAGAAGGTCAGGAGGGCCGAGGGCACCTGCCGAGGACCCGGCAGGTTGTCACCTCTTCTCTGCGTGGCAGCACAGCAGGAGGACACAGCCGGGCAGCCGGCCATTCCTACGACGGGCCCCTCTGAGGGCGACCTGGGCTGGGGACGCCCTCCTGCTCTCCCCAGGAGCCCTTGCACATCCAGCCCAGCCTGGCTGCTCGGTTCTGCCCCCCGGGGGGTTCTGGGGACCCAGCATACCAGCTGACACCACCACCCTGCCCTGCCCCCCTGCCCACGCAACGTTACAGTGGGAAACTGAGGCACAAAGGAGTCACGAACTCGCTGATGACCGCACTGCCACTAAATGCAAAGGAGGGATCCACAGCCGGGCTCTGCCTGGGTCACGGCTCCTGAACACGGCCCCTGCCACGAACACCTCCCTCCGGCCCTTGTGGGCCAGAGAAGCCACAGAGCGTCTGGGGAGGAGGAGGTGGACGCCATCACTCACCAGCCCGCACTCGTTCAAGGCCAGGTTCTCATCCTCCGACAGCTTCTGCCCTCCCAAGGCCAGCAGCTCGAAAGGCAGCCAGTCGCTCTGCAAGGCCTCGCGGACGAACCCGTAGACCGCCGCCATCCGCTCCCGGGCGTAGAAGGTCCCTGGGGAGTGGGACAGTCAGAGCAGGGCCGGGGCCCCGGAGCCCACCCACCCGCCCACCCTCCCCGGGCTGTGGGCCGGGCTGGGGGTTCCCACCCTGCAGCAGGCAGCCGTCGGGCAGGCGCACGCGCAGCAGCGTGTAGGTGTACTTGCGCAGCTCCCGCTGCTCCTCCTTCTCCCGCATGGCCTTGGTCCGCAGCACGCTCAGCCGCTCCACCGCGTCGGACCTGGGCACGCAGGACGCTCAGGCTGCTGGCCCCGTTGTCCCTGCCCGCCCTGCCTGAGGGCGCCCTGCCCACCTGAGCCTCTGCTCCCGCTTGACCTCCTCTGCCGTGAGGTTGAAGAAGTCCCCAGGCAGGTCGAACTGCGAGGCCAGGGGCGACGGCTGGAAAACGCGGCGCTGCCGGTGCAGTGTGGCGCGCACGGGCTCCGCAGCCAGCAGCTGCTCCCTGTGCCTCTCGAGGCTCTGGGGCTCGGCCAGCACCGCCTCGCTCAGCACGTAGAACTCCTCGGGGCCCTCTGCAGATGGCACGGGGGCGGTGGGCACTCTGCTAGCCGGGCCCTCCTGCCGCCCCCGCAGCCAGGCCCTCTGCTCTTACCCTTGTCGGCAACTGGAAGCATCACCTTCTGGAACCCGATGGCCTCGAAAAACTCATGGGCCCCTTCCAGGCAGTTAATGCGCTCCTGGGGGGGAGCTGGAGTCATAATGGCAACGTGGCTCTATAGCCCCCCCACCCTGAAGGGACCAGCCCCGGCGGCTGCCTCAGAGCAGGGGTCTAACAGCTGCTCAGAGGTCATGGCACCCAGAGCTCCACAACCAGGTGTGGACAGCAAGGCCACAGGCCCTCGGGGGCGGGGAGGGCGGGGGGGTCCTGGCTGCCAGCAGGGGACACCTGCTGCAGCCAACACAGGCCGGGGTGGCCAGAGCCTGCGTGTGAAAAACCTGCCTGTGCCAACGTGCTCCCAAACAATTGCGACCGGAGGAGAGTCAATGTGCTGGGGGTGGGGGAGAGGGCAGACGACCCACAGACTTCGGGTGGCTCTGGGGCACAAAGCCCTTGCTCTGCCAGCTCTGCCCAGCCCCTGCCCTGAGCAGGCCACACCCGCAGCCTGCAGGCCAGTGGGGTCCCGTGCCGTGCGGCCTGGCTGTGGCTACGCTCCCTGGAAGGCAGCGCCCACCTGGAACACCTTGTTCTGTAGCTTGATCTTCTGGTACTTCTCCTCCTCTGGATGCAGGTGGATGTTGTCCAGGTACCTGGGGGTGGCAAACAGGGCACAAGCCCAGGTGGGCCGCCCGCCCGCCCCCCTCTACCTCCCACCCCCAGGGGACGGCATCCGAGAGCCTCGCTCAGCCTGTGGTCAGAGCAAAGAAACGGCCCAGGGACCCAGGGCGCAGGGGGTGGGGGGCACCGTGGGGACAGAAGTCACTCTGCAGACCCCATGGAGCTCCCCCGGGGGGGGGTGACCCTGCCTCCTCTACACAGTCTTTGGGTCCTCGAGGGAAGCCAGGCCTGGGAACCCTGAGTCCTTAAACCCCTTCATTTCGCAGACAGGTAATCGGAGGCCCAGCCCCTTCCCCGAGGGCTCAGAACGGGGTAGGTGAGGGGGCTCAGGCCTCACCCCAGCCCGTGCTCCTTCCGGGCCACCTGGGCAGGTCAGGATGGAGGCGGGGGGGGGGCCTGCATCGGGCCAGCGGGGGCCACCACTCACTTGGCAATGGTGTCCACACCCAGCTTCACCCTGTCGCGGTCCTTGTTGAACGTGTGGATCTTCATGATGGAGGCGGCCACTGGGTCGGTGGCAAAGTGCTGGGGAGGGGGCGGGCAGGCGTGTGGGAGGTCACGGGCCTGGGACCATGCACCCCTCACTGCCCAGGTGACCAGACTGGGAAGAGGAAGGGTCACGATAACCCTCTCCCAGAAGAACAGTAACATTTAGCTGACGCCAACTCAACCGTGTGCGCTGAGCACACTGAGGACAGTTGAGAGACCCCCGGGCAGCCCCAGCCCTGCCTCGGTCCTGATCCTGCTGCAGCCAACACAGAGAGCAGAGTCTGCCCTCACCTCCTACGGGCCACATTCATGCCACAGATCCCCGCCTGGCACCCTGGCTGCAGCACTGAGACCCACGGAGGCCGCGGCGGCTCACTGAACTACCGGCCACCGTGGACACCGTCCCTGGCCTCCTCACAGCCCCACGAGGCACGCTCTGGAAGGACTCCCAGGTTTCCAAGGAGAGGCCGCAAGTCCTCTTCCAGGGTCACAGGGATACCAGGTGACAGAGAGGATGCAAATGAGGTCTGTGACCCTCCATGTCTGGCGTGCAGCAGGGGTAGCCCAGCCCCACTGCTCCCTGGGCTCCCACCTGCTTCTACAGAGGAGGGGGGAGTCACAGATGGAGATCGGGGGATTCCCAGAGCCAGCCCCGGGACTGCAAACAGCATCCCCAGCCCCGGGACTGCAAACAGCAGGGAGAGGCTGAGGACAGGTCACCTAATGGAGGGACAAGTTTGGGGAACAAATCTGTTCACCCTCCGTATAACCACTGCACGTGGCTACACCCCTGCATCCCTCCGCAGCCCAGAAAGGCAGCTGGGGGTGGTCAACAGCAGTGTCGCCTGGGGCAACGTGTCAGGACACAGACCACCCGCCCAAGCAGCCCACGGCCTCTGCCCGACCCCCAGACACCCCAAGTGCGCAGCAAGGAGCACTCAGCAGCCACCTCTGTGTCACAGGAACCAGTGACCCAAACTGAGCCACTCTCCTGCCAACTGCAAATTGGGACCCAGCCCAGCCTGCCAGGTTAGTTGCCAGGTTGAGACGGGGAGGGGGCAGGAACATGGCAGGGCAGAGAAAGCGCGTCTGTACAGAGAGAGAGCACAACAGCTAGGTGGGCAGGGCGTCCCCAGAGCGCCCGGGAAAGCACACCCGCCCCTGGGAAGAGCCGCTGCTCCAAATGCCGCCCTCAGACAAAGTCAGGGCCAGGGTATGTGAACATACAAGGCGCCAGGGAACACGGCGTCCAGAAAGGAACCCAAACCCACACAGGAATTCACTGTGGGATACAGGGGGGATCCCATACCGGTGAGCAAAAGATGGGTATTTTCAATATATTGAGCAAAAATTCAGCAGTTATCTGGAAAGAAATAACATTGGCTCCCCACCTCGTACTTTACACAGGGATAAATTCTAGTTGGATCAAAGGCTTAAACGTTAAACACAACAAACAAGCAAAACAACAAAGCACTAGAAAAGCCACGGGACTATTTCAGTACAGCAGTGAGGAAGGCCTTTCTAAGTATGATCCGACACCCAGAAGCCATAAAGTAAGCCCAACACATTTAATCTGTATGAGAGAGATCAAAAATTTCTATGTGGCAAAGTGACCAAAAGCAGAACCAAAAAATAAAAAACTGGGGGAAAATGTCTGCAACTCATGTCATAGGCAAAAGCCTAAATTCCCTAATATGTAAAGAGTACCTACAAATCAATAAGAACCACTACCAAATAAAAATGTGCAAAGGATGTGTTCTCATGAAAACATGACCAACCTAACCCAAAATAAGGGAAATGCAAATAAATCTATCCTGAGATATGTTTTTTCACCTGTCAATTTAGGTAAAAATCAAAAAGTTTCGCAACCCACAGTGGTGGAGGGACAGGAAAATGGCTGCTGAAGGGGGCATGACTCCGACCAGCCCCTATGGAAGATCATCAGGTTACAACTAACCACGTCACCACTGCACAGTGTCCCCTGTCCCAACTCCAGTTCTAGAGCTGAGCCTACACCGGGAAGTGATGTCAGGTAAGGTTTTTCATGGCACAACTGTGCTTAACTAGCAAGAGGTGGGAGATGTCCTATGTGCTCACCAGCAGGGAGGCGGGTTGCGTAAGTGACAGAATAACTTGCAGGGGAGCATTATGCAGTCACGAGAGAATGCGCAACTTGCCTTCCGGCAGTTCAGAGAGAAACACACGGGTGATAAAGCAAACGCGGCAAAAATGTTAACGCCTGGCACATCTGGGCGGGGAGAACATCCCCCTACCCCCAAAAAGACAGCCATGTCCTGATCCCTGGAACCTGCGGATAGGTTAAATCACAGGGGAATTAAGGCAGCAGATGAATTAAGGCTGCTAATCAGCTGACCTTAAAATAGCGAGGTCACCCTGGATGACCCGGGGGCCCAGTGTCAGCACGGGGTCCTCCCACGAGGGGGCAGGAGGGTCGGAGGCAGAGAGACTGGAAGACGCTGCGCTGCTGGCTCTGAGCTGGGAGGAAAGGCCCCGAGCCGAGGGACACAGGCGGCCGCTAGACGCTGGGAAGGGCCCTGCCACACTTTGACTTCAGCCCAGGGAGGCCCATGTTGGACTCTGACCCCAGTACAGTAAGAACAAAGTGTGCTGGCTTGCAACAGCATTAAGAGAACTCACACCCTAGGAGAAAGGACACGTGAGTGTTCTCTGTACAACTCTTGCAATTTCTCTTTAAGTTCGAAATTAGTTCCAAATAAAGAATTACAGTGAGTTCTCCCTTAACATTACTGATGGTTTCCCAGACTCTGAATTTAAGTGAAACAACGTAGTACGTCCTTGAATAACCTCATTTCCTCCAACACTGTCGTATTATAACAATGAAAAAAAAAAATTGGTTTCATTATGTGTCGTTTCAAGTATTAAGTCACAATTTCTAAGAACCTACCGACAATGTTAAGTGAGGACTTACTGTACAAGAAAAAAAAAACCGTGGAAGTTCTTTCTGTGCTGATATGATACGTCAGAGTTTCTATGTTAAGTGTGAACGATATGTGACCTTTTATGTAAAACGAAAACAAAACCACGAGGGCAGACACACACGTACATCGATAGTTTGCATACATGCAGGGTATCTTGGTACAGGGACCTCGCTTCCTAGAGCGGCCCCAGGGAGGGTGGCGGGAGACGGCGGGAGGAAGCCTTCCTCCATCCACTCTTGTGCCTTTTGAGTTCTATACACGTGTGTCCCCTCTTTAGAGAGATTGGAACAGAAACAAAAGCAAATAAAAGCATAAATACAACCAAAGCTCTTGCAGGACTTTGCCAGGGATGGAAGCCACCTGCGGGTCCTGGAGGTGGCTCGGGCACTGTAAGCTCTGCGGTGGTGGGGGAGAGGGGGACACGGGGCTGCCACTCACCGAGAGAATGGCCTCTTTGATGCGGGCGTCCCGCTGGTCCTTCCTCAGGGTGGCCCCAGTGAGCGGGCAGGTGAAGTACACGCCAGGCACTGCCAGGTGGGTCGAGCCCGCCTCTCTGGGCTCAGGAACCTGCGGGTGGCGAAAGTGTCTGGGTCTGGGCTGAGGACAGAGGCACCCTGGAGCCACCCAAGGGCCACAGTCATGAAGGCGCGGCCCTTAGAGCCCCCACACTGTTCCTTCCACTTGTTCGCCACAGAAGACACCTGGCCAAGTGACCGGACCCCTCTAAGCCTGTTTCCTGGTCTGTAAAATGTCCCTGTGGGGCCAGCTCAGAATTAAACAAGGCAGGGAACAAAGCATGTAGCGCCGAGCTCCTGACAGACTAAGCGCTTGACAAGCGGCAGCCTGGGCACCTGCTCGCCCTGGAGAGGAAGGGGCTCTGGGCTGGAGTCTGGGGGTCCCGTGTCCTCAACTCATCCTGGCTGCTCTCTGGGTCTTGATTTCTAGGCAACCTCTAGGGTCTCTTCCACACTAAAATTCAGGGACTCAAGCTGCTGAACTCCCTTTCGGCCAAGCTCTCGGGACCCACCTCCTACAGGAAGACCTCCCTGATTATACCTGTCTCCATGGAGCCCCCCAACTCCCACGGGAGGCAGGAAAGGGCAGTGCCAGGGCACAGGCTTCAGGGCCACCAATGTGGTTCCCTCCCGCCCTTGCTGGTTCTGAGGTGTAGGAGAGGACGATGGCGCCACCTCTCTGAACCTCAGCCCTCTCTCCAGAAAAGTGGGACGTGTAACAGCGCCCACCCTGAGGAGCCTGGGGAGCAACCAGTGCACTAACGTGGGTCAAGCCCAACCCTCAGGGCCCGAGCCAGGGCCAGGTGCTGAGCCCTGAAGGTCCCAGATGACACTGCATGAAGGCAGGGCTCCCAACGGCCCTGGGGCCCCAAGCACACAGGTGACATGTCTTCCGTGTCTCCCCTCTCCCGGTGGGCCCTTCACAGGGTCTGAGCTGGCCCCAGCCGAAGCCGCCCCCCGGTGTCACGCTGCAGCCGGCGATGCTTTTACCACATTAGTCCCTGGAACCTCCAGGCTTCCGCTGACGGTGGCTTCAGCTCGAAGCTCCTTTCTCACTGGAAGGAAGGAACAAGTGGAGGGAAGGCAGAGACGGACCGATGACACAGAGGCCCTGCCCTGCCCTCCTGCGGCCCCTCCTGCAGGGCTTAGTCTGCGCCCGCCGCAGCTCCCGCAGTGGGCACACTCCCAGTAGTGACTTTGTACACCCCCCACCCGCGTCAGTCACGTAACCTTTTCCACCCAGAGCTGAGTGCCGTGTCTGGGACCCACAAACCGCTCCCACCTCAGCTGCGCAGGGCCACGCTCACCCTGGTTCCTGATGGAGTCCTGCGACGTGGGGCCCCGCGCCCTGGGCTGCTTCTGCTCCAGCCTCGCCAGGGCAGCGGCGGCTGCCATCTGCGCCTCATCGGTGGGTCCCTGGCGCAGCTGCCTGAGCGCCGGCTGGTTGGCCTTCTCTCTGGGGGCCTTCTCCCTGCCGAGTGACCCAGGAACATGAGTGTCCTCCCAGGACGGCCAGCAGGGCGGACATGGTGTCGGATGGAAAAGCTTCTGCCCCACCCCAACTCCTGCCACCTGCCCCATCAGATACCATGGGCCGGGATGCCTCTTTCCCAGGGCCACCCATGGCCACCAGAAGGTTCTGTCATGGGTGGAACAGCCCCTGGAGACAGGAGATGCTGGGTCTGCTTTGAGCTCTGCCTCTTTGGGCAAGTGCTGCCCCAGCTGGGCCTCAGCGTCCTCATCTGTAAAGTGAGTGACAGCAGAGCCCTGCCACGTGTGCAGGCACCCTGACATCCTCAAGAGTTAATGAGACCTGAGGGGTGTCACGCCCTCCCCTCCCTCCCATCAGAGCCTGGACCCTACCATCCGAGCTCTGTTGAGCACCCGCTGCGTGGCAGGCCCCTGCTGGGCGCGTGCCTCAGCTCAGCTGGTTCACCCCTCCAAACGGGCTCTTGGGGAGGTCTCGAGATCCCCTTTTCGCAAACCCGAGAGGTTCATGGAAGCTCAGG